ATTTCCATAGGTTTTTGGGGAACAGGTGATAATTTGGTTACATGAATAAGTTATTTAGTGGTGATTTGTGAGATTTTGGAGCACCTGTTACCTGAGCAGTATACACTGAATATGATAGCAGTTTTAAAAAATCTTTTGATGTTTGTTTTATTGCCCAAAATATGGTTTATTACTGCTGTATGTTCTGTGGGTAGTCGAAAAGAATTTGTATTTTTCTATATCTGGAATGTTCTGTAAATGTTAGTGCATGTCTATTGGTTGATGGTGTTGTTGAATTCTTATGTAATCTTACAGATTTTCTGCTAGTTGTTCTATCAGTTATTGAGGGGGGTGGTCACATCTTCGACCTGCAGATTTGTCTGTTTCTTTTTTGTTGTTGTTCTATCAGATCCTGCTTTGTGTATTTTGGAGCTTTGTTGTTTGGCACTTAAATATTACAATTGCTGTATCTTCTAGGTGTATCGACCCTTTATTATTACATCTCTTTGATGATTTTCTTTGCTCTGAAGTCAAGTTTATCAAACACAAATATTAAGCTGTATATAGCTCTACTTGTGTTTGATAACCATGACTTCAGAGCAAAGAAATTATCAGTTAAGTTTAAATTAACTGAATAAACTATCAGCTAATATTAAAAATATCAGTTAATAAACAGTATCAAGTTAATATTTGCATGATATATCTTTTTCTGACCTCAGTCTGCCTACGTTGTTATATTTTGAGTGACTTTCTTGTAGCTAGCATATAATTAGGTCATGTTTCTTGTTGCTGGCTTCTTCATCTCCAAATCTGGGTTATATGCGATAAAAAGAAAAACCAGGGAATTCACAATCATGTCATCACTGAGACCCCTACTCAGTCGACCTTCTTCTCACCACCTTTAAGTGTTGTTTTCTGTATTAATACAATGTCCAGCGTTTCTAGTTGTACTTAGCAGGAGGAATAGGGAAAAGTACATCTACTTCACCTTCCTGAGGTGGAAGTTCCAGGGTTTCACTTTATTTATTGCCATATCCCTACTGTCTACGTCAGATATCATCAATGTTCAGTAAATATCTGTTGAATGAATTAGTGATTTGTTGATCAGAGTGAATTTGTATGTTAATTTTATGTATGTTAAATACTTGATTGTTTCTTACTGTAAAACATTTAGAGAATATTAGTTTTTTCCCCCACCAAGGTCAGATTTAGTCTTATCTGAGTGCATTATAATTTTTCTTAATTTAATTGATGGTTGTTTACATTTTGCCCCACTTTCACTAATCTGTGGCAGAAAATGAAAATTAGAGAATGTTTTCAGCCCTGCATGTTTATGTTCTCTATGCCTAAGTGATACAAAGTCCAGTAAATACTTAGCTCCAATTGTATCATACTTTCCTGACAAGTGAATTGTAGAGATTGAGATAGAGACAGTTATGCTCCTTATAATAATTGAAGTACTGCTAATTTGGGATGTATTAACACAGGCTTTGTTTTAAAATTGTTTTATTGGTTAGAAGTCTGTTAGCTACCTTTAGAGGTGAATTAAATTAGATAGTATACAACATTTTGACAGATGCCACCTGGATGAGGATCAGGTGCAGGAAATATTTGTTTCTCTTTGAGCCTGAGAGATTTCTTATTGTTCTGTTTAATTGGTGCTATTTATAGGTCCCTTCAATAATCAGGAGATGGCAGAATGGTTTCAGGCGGGCTATTTTACTATGTCTTTATTGGTGAAGAGAGCATGTGATGAAAGCTTCCAACCTCTTGGCGATATCATGAAAATGTGGGGAAGGGTTCCCTTTTCTCCAGGTCCAGCTCCACCTCCCCATATGGTAAGTACCTTCTACCTCACCTGGAATGCATGTTAGACACAGACGCGCTTGATTCTCTTTGAAAACACAACCCAAATATATCATCTAATGAAGGAATTGTAGTTCTTTGAAATTAATGGAAATGGAAAGAGGAAGTCTGAATGGAAGACTGAATTCTTAACTATAATGATCTTTTCAAAACCCAAATAACCTGCGCCCATCCTCTTCACACCCAACCTCCTCCCCAACAGTGAAATGGAATCCTTCAGTAGCATTCCAGCAGAAGTAGAATGAAGACCAGCATCTTTATCTTGGCCTGCCTACCAGGTCCTGCAGTGCCTGGCACTTTATCTTTCTAAGCTCATTTCAGTGATTTTACCTTTATCTGCTAGGCTTCAACACAGTTGACCTTTTTGACTTTCTTACTACCTCTAGTTAGAATAAACATTCTTCTGTGTTCTACTTCGTTTTCCTCTTGCCTTCTCACTCATAAAGTTTCTAAATTTGAGGTTTGCTTTAAAACAAATGTTACCAGTGCTTCAAAATATTTTGAGGACTTAAAAAATTAGTTACTGGTATTTTAATTAAAAAATGGAACCAGGCACATTGGCTCACTTCTGTAATCCCAGTTTGGGAGGGATTTGGGAAGCCAGAGTTAGAAGATTGCTTGAGCCCAGGAGTTTCAGACCACCCTAAGCAATGAAGTGAAACCCTGTCTGTACAAATAGTAGCAGTAGTAATAATAATAAGTAAATAAACTAGCCAGGGGTGGTGGCAAGCAGTGGCAGAGGTGGGATGATCACTTGAGCCTAGCAAATTGAGGCTGCAGTGGGCTATGACTGCACCATTGCACTGCAGTTTGGGCAACAGAGTGAGACTCTATCTCAAAAATAATAATAAAAGGAACCGTAATGCTGGTGGTCTCCCTAGGGCTCTGACACTGGGGTATTATTGGCAGAGACACCCTTCTTCCTCTTGCAGCTGCCCGTGGCCTCTCCCAGTAGTGTTCCTTTTGGAGGTCTCTCACCTGAACCTCACTTTTTTTTCTCCGCGTTGGACTGTCTGGTAGTGGGCTATAATTAAAAGTTACCATAAACCTTTTTTTTTTTTCCCAAAGAGATGGGGTCTCACCATGTCGCCCAGGCCAGTCTTGAACTCCTGGGCTCAGGCAGTCCTCCCATCTTGGCCTTCCAAAGTGCTGGATTACAAGCATGAGCCACTGTACCCAGCCCATAAATCTTTAGTGTGAACACCACATTTCTACAGTAAAATCACCATTGACTTATTCATCAATTGTATATTGAGGGCCTGTGCCAGGCCTCATGGTAGGTTCTTATGAGATGAAGATGAGCAACACCTAGCCCCTGTAGTTGGGGGAGTCTGTAGGTGAGGAAAGTGGCTTTTTTTCCATTTTCTTTCTTTTAAATGTTGGTTTTAACCCAGTAACTGATTTTATAGTTCACTAATATGTTGAGACCTTTAGTTTGTAGAGAGCAGTGGTCTAGAATGGAAGATTCCTGGGTGAGAGGAATTATTTCTCACACCATCCTAGTTGTTTTACGTCACAAGAAAAATTATACCGTGTATTGCGGCATATAAAGTTAACTTATATGTTAAATTTAAGCCTTATTTCCCTTTTCTGAAATTAAGATTGGTTTTGGTCTTGCACATCTCAGAGGCTAAAAGCTTATCTGTTGGATCTTGGCATGCTTGCAGTAGTCCAGTTTCCAGTTAGAAGAGCTGAGACTCAGTCATACCTGCATAGGAGGGAAACTGTGGAAAGCCCTCCTTCCTGTCAGTTATTGTCTTTTCCCTAAATATTGTTGATGAGAAGAGAGCTCCCCTTCATAATGAATGTATACCTTGAAAACTGGTTTTTCATGTAGACATTTTAGATGAACCTAAAGTAATAGCTTTCCTCCAATATTGAATAAGCAAGAAAAATGTCTCTGAATTTCAGGTAATCTCTACCCCAAGAAATTGTATATCAGATGTCATATTTCAAACTATAATCAATATATGATAAAGGCATAAACTCATGATTTACCTGTTTAGTCTGTCATACTTACACTTTTACATCTGTTATGTTATACTTCACGTTTCTTTCTCCTAATTTTAACTTTTCGTAATTAAAATTCCAGTCCTGTTATTTCACATATAAGTCAAAAAATTGGTTTTATTTTACCACAGCTTATTTTTTCTAAGTCATGATGTATTAATAGTGATGGAAACACTTTATTTGGGGGGAGAGTTAGAGTTTTCAAGTTCTTTTTATTCTTAGCATCTTTAAGAGATATACTGGCTCGCTCCATTCCTTACGTACCATTATAAAATTCCACTATAACATTTCCTTTGACCTTTGGATAATTTTGCATTTTTCTGTATTATATCCAGTTTCTCTAATTTCTGCATGATCTCCAAATTTACAAATCCACTTTTAAGATTGAGAGAAGTATACAGTCTTTCAGTTACCGTAATAACTGGAGTACAGTTGAACATCAGCTTTAGAGGCAAGATTGGAGAATGGCAGCTGAAATCAGGACCCTTTCTCACCTTAGGGGATCTTTTATAACATTGACACCACTGTTTCCACTAGATTGCATTGTTTAGTTTTCAAAGACACCTGAGTTTTTAGTCAAGTGTTTGGGTAAAAGGGAGGCAGAGGTCTTAGATTCATTTCGATTTCAGATACCAGTACTAAGTGGCTTTTAGGTTCTTTGCAGTTTATTTAATGCTATTTGTTTCCTCACCACCTCATTCCCAGGGAGAGCTGGACCAGGAACGACTGACCAGGCAGCAAGAACTCACAGCCTTATACCAGATGCAGCACCTGCAGTACCAGCAGTTCTTAATACAGTAAGAATAGTAATGCAGTAGGATGTACTGCAGCGTGAAAAGGGACTTTAAATAGAATCTGCTATCAAGTCTCACCTTTTACAAGAGCTAAAGACTTATATGGCACTTCAGTTGCCCTGCTAGAGGCGTCTTACCACTATTCATTCTAATTTTAGTCTTGTGTTTTATATATTTATGTATTTATTTATTTTTGAGACAGGGTCTCACTCTGTCATCCAGGCTGGAGTGCAGTGGTATGATCTAGGCTCACTGCAACCTCCACCTCCCGGGTTCAAGTGATTCTCGTGCCTCAGCCTCCTGAGTATCTGGGAGTACAGGCATGTGCCACCACTCCCAGCCTATTTTTGTATTTTTAGTAGAGATGGGGTTTCACTGTGTTGGTGAGGCTGGCCTCAAACTCCCAGCCTCAAGTGATCTGCCTGCCTCACCTTCCAAAGTGCTGGGATCACAGGCGTGAGCCACCGTGCCCAGCTTATCTTACTTTTAAATACCAGAAGTTTAGATGATGACATGTAACTTTAATTTTGTAAGCTCTTTAGTTTGTAAGTGCCTCCTGAGTGGCTCAGCTTTGAATGCCACCATTGGGTTGGGGAGTGGGGATTGGGGGGAGTGTGGGGAAGCCATAAGTGAGAGGGTAGGAGGGAAAAAGTTAATTTTTTTTTAGGAGCGGTATGGAATGATGGCAAAGTCAGTCAAAGTCAGTCAGATTTTGATTTCTCTCTTTTGTAGAAGAAATAAAATTTGCTGTTATGTAGTGCAGAGGTTGGCAAAGTCTGGACTTTAGGCCAAACCTGGCCTGCTCTCTATTTTTATAAGCAAAGTGTTACTGAAACAGACACACCTGTTTGTTTGTAGGTTGTATATTAACTGCTTTTGCCTTAAGATGGCAGAATTGAGTAGTTGGAACAGAGAGTATTTGACCTGCAGAGATGAAACTATTTACTCTCTGGCCCTTTACAAAAGTGTGTCTAACCCTGATCTAGTGAAGAAAAATTACCTAAATTTCTCCAAGTTAAAAAATATCAATGTATGAATTTTTATAGAACTGTTATATTTTTTACAAAGGATGCTTCATATGGAAAAAGCTACTAGTTTGAATCTGTTTTATTTTTCATTTGTTTTCTGATAAAAGGTTAGTTATCTTGGGAGTTTACTGGTTTTTAACATTTGTGATTTTAAAAATATTTTTTCTAAATAGACCACTTTCCACTGAATTGTGAATTTTTTTGCTGTCCTCTTTCACTCAGAAACATGTCATCTATGATGAGTTCAGATCTTTCCAGAATGAAGCATAGAATTTTCTATTTGTCTGTTATCATAATGAAGAATTATTAAATATATTTGATAGTCATTTCTAATAGTGTTTCCTGAGACACTTTGAATTGAACTTTGACTTTCAACATCTCAATCATGTGAACTAAATGTGGATTGACAGGTTATACTTTTTTTTTTACTTCTTTGAAGACAACAATATGCACAGGTTTTGGCCCAACAGCAGAAAGCAGCCCTGTCTTCCCAGCAGCAGCAGCAGTTGGCCCTTCTTCTTCAACAGTTTCAGGCCCTGAAGATGAGGTTGGTGATCATTCCATTATGTGTCATATTGGGTGCATGTGTTGTGGAAGAAAGGATAAATTGTGGTTCAGTGTGTGATATCTGGTACCAAACACAGCCTATACCTGCATGTTGTATGTAAAAACTATATATTTTTTAAAAATAATATTTCAGGTGGAGATAAACAATTATTTAGTCTTTTACTCATAGAGGATAAATTTTGATTAATCAAAAGAGCAAAGAACAATGAAAACACTTAAGAAGCAGTGTCATCTTATGGAAGCTGCAACATTAAACTGTGGCCTAGGATTTTAATTTCACTTTCATCCATAGTATCTCAAGAAAGTATTAGCCACACCACCCAAGGTTATAATTTTCTAGAATCCAAAAGCCATTAAGTTAGGTCTAAGGAAAAGGAAATTTTGATAGAAGTCTAGAATAAATTTCTCCTGTTTCAGATTATCATTCATAGTAATATTTCTCCTGAACAAGTAACCGTCACTGCTCTCACAAACCTTACTGTCTCATTCAGCCAAAACTGTTCATATTTCTTTTGCGCCTTAACCCGTCCTGTTAGGTAGGCACTTTAGGTGGTAGGAACTCCACTTTATAGATGGGCAAACTGGGACTCTGAGAGACTAAAGGACTTGATTAATGTAACACACAGGAAACTCGAGAGAAAAAAGTAAAATGCAGGCCTTTAATCTTAAAGTGCATTGACTTTTTCATTATAACGTGCTGTCTCTGTGATATCTATTGAGATGATCTGGGTTTTTTAAGACAGTAAGTATATCCATCATTTAGAAGTCAATTCTCTGTTACCATAGAGGATTACAGAAGTGTGATCATGGTGCCCTTCTCTTCCACTCCAAACTGCTTTGGTAGTGTTAGGTTTTAGTAAAACAGTGAAGGTGTTTTCTAGCCAAATAACCTGGAGAACCTACAGATAATCTAGAAATTCCTCTTTATCATTTTTCTTTTTTTGCAAATGATAAGAACAAGTTAATTTTTTATTTCCCTTTTGCAGAATATCTGATCAGAACATCATTCCCTCAGTACCTAGGTCTGTGTCGGTGCCAGATACTGGCTCTATCTGGGAGCTTCAGCCAACAGCTTCACAGGCTACAGGTAAAAACTTAGACTGACCTTTAGAGCCACTTTAAGGATTTAGAGTCTAATAATAATTTTACAATTTAGCTCTTAAAAAATATATTAGGTTTCTAGATCCATTTTGTATTGCATATTAACAAAAAGGTCTGTTTTTTCCTAGATACAAGCAATATTGGAGGTATTACTGAAAATATACTTTTAAGGATTTGTTTGAAATTATTTAGCGGATTTTTTTGTTTTTTGAGTCAGCGTCTCTTTTATGTTGATCTGATCAGTGTGGAAAAATCATTTAAATTATTTTTTATCTCTTCAGCCAGATGGGAAAAAAAAGCATACATTAAAACATAAGTAACAATGATCTATTCTTTTGAGTTAAGAATTAATACCAGCTACGCATGGTGGTGTGTGCCTGTAGTGCTAGCTACTCAGGAGGCTGATGTGGGAGGGTTGCTTGAGCCCAGGAGTTCCAGGCTCCAGTGAGCTATGATCATGATAAGGCACTTCAGCCTGGGCAACATAGCCAGACTCTTGTCTCTAAGAAAAAAAAAAGAGAGGCTGGGCAGAGTGGCTCACACCTGTTATCCCAGCACTTTGGGAGGCCAAGGCAGGCAGATCACCTGAGGTCGGGAGTTCGAGACCAGCCTGACCAACATGGAGAAACCCCATCTCTACTAAAAATACAAAATTAGCCAGGCATGATGGCGCATGCCTGTAATCCCAGCTACTCGGAAGGCTGAGGCAGGAGACTGGCTTGAACCCAAGAGGTGGAGGTTATGGTGAACCAAGATCACGCCACTGCACTCCAGCCTGGGCAACAAGAGCGAAACTCTATCTCAAAAAGAAAAAAAAAAAAGAATTGATATAACTAATACTGTAGATACCCAGAAATTTTGGGAAAAGAAAAACCTGCTATGAAGTGAACACCTTTTCTCATTTTTATCTTTTTACATCAAATTAGAAAATTTGGGGTTGAGTTTTTTTTAAGTCTTGGTATTGGTGGAGCACCTCTGTTTCGTTTCTTTTTTCCTTTCCTCTTCCTTTTCCTTTCCCTTTCCCTGTCCCTTTCCTTTCCTTTCTTTTCTTTTCTTTCCTTTCTTCTTTCCTTTCCTTTCGTCTTTCCTTTCTCTTTCTTTTTTTTTTTTTTTTTTTTTTTTTTTTTCTTGAACTGGACTCTTGCACTGTCACCAAGGCTGGAGTGCAGTGATGTGATCTTGGCTCACTGCAACCCCCGCCTCTCAGGTTCAAGCGATTCTCCTGCCTCAGCCTCTGAAGTAGCTGGGGCTACCTACAGGCACATGCCATCACACTCGGCTGCTTTTTGTATTTTTAGTAGAGATGGGATTTCACCATGATGGCCAGGCTGGTCTTAAAGTGACCTCAAGTGATCCACCCGCCTTGACCTGTCAAAGTGCTGAGATTACAAGTGTGAGCCACTGTGCCCAGCCGAGCTCCTCTGTTTCTTAAGGTCTAAATACCTGCATAGGTGGACGATTTGATCCATGGTTAGTCCTTTCAAGAAATCATAGTTGGTATTGAGATCCCCAAGAACTATATGCCTTGATGGAGTTTGTCAGGAGCTGTTGAGCCATTCAGGTCATGCCTCTGTTGTTTACATTGACCTTGCAGGTTATGGCAGAAGGATGGTTGCTCATTAACTTTCCATGCTTTTTGTACTTTATTTTCTCTTGGTAGCCATTTATAGTTAGAATATTAAGAATACACGTTGAGCACCATTCCCTAATCCAAAAGTCCACAATCCAGAATGCTCCAAAATCTAAAACTTTTAGAGCACTGACATGATTTCATGAGTGGAAGTTTTATTTTGTTTTGTTTTTGCTTTTGAGGCAGAGTCTCACTCTGTTGCCGAGACTGGAGTCCAGTCGCACAGTTTCGGCTCACTGCAACCTCTGCCTCCTGGGTTCAAGAGATTCTCCTGCCTCAGTCTCCCGAGTAGCTGGGATCACAGGTGCCCACCACCATGCCTAATTTTTGTATTTTTAAAAAAGATGGGGTTTCACCCCATTGGCCAGGGTGGTCTCAAACTCCTGGCCTCAAGTGGTCTGCCTGCCTCGGCCTCCCAAAGTGCTAGGATTACAGTCACAAGACATGAGACCCAGCTGACGAGTGGACAATTTTACACATAAATACTTAACATAAACATTTTGTTCATACCCCAAATTATTAAAAATGTTGCATAGGTCAGGTGCAGTGGCTCACGCCTGTAATCCCAGCACTTTGGGAGGCTGAGGCAGGTGGATCATAAGGTCAGGAGTTCGAGACCCGTCTGACCAACATGGTGAAACCCTGTCTCTACTAAAAATACAAAAATTAGCCAGGTGTGGTGGCACGTGCCTGTTATCCTAGCTACTCAGGAGGCTGTGGCAGGAGAATTGCTTAAACCTGGGAGGCAGAGGTTGCAGTGAGCCAAGATTGTGGCACTCTACTCCAGCCTGGGTGACAGAGTGAGATTCCGTCTCAAAAAAAAAAAAAAAAAAAAAGCTACATAAAAGTACCATCAGGCTATAGGCTATGTCTATAAAGTGTTTATGAAAGATTAATGAATTTTTTGTTTAAACTTGGATCCCATCCCAAAGATAGCTCATTATGTATATGCAGATATTTTAAAATCTGAAAAAAAATCCAAAATTTGAAATGCTTTTGATCTGAAGGCATTTTGGATAATGGATACTCAACCTGCATTCTCCAGTGTTTTGGAAACTTTTAAATACTCTATTAAACAATTTATTTCTTTGGGTTTCTATGCAGTCAAAGTCCTTTACAAATAGTCTGGTTTTATACAGACAATATTTGATAGTTTATAAATAGACTATGATAGGAATGTAGAAAATAGAGAATGCTGAAAAGTGATACCAGCAAACTTCACTGGCAATAGGACAGTGAACTGAGAAGCCATTATCTGTTTACTTCCAAATGTGATCTTCCAGTGCCTTTCAGGTTAGCAGGACCAGATCTCATTTATGAGACCTGTCTAGCTTTCCAGAGGCCTATGCACCTCCAGCTGTAATGCTTACTTGCAATCTGTCTTTATTGAGATGAAATTCACTTAACACAAAATTAACCATTTTTTAAAGTGAACCGTTCAGTGGTATTCACCATGTTGTGTAACCACCTACTTCTCTCTAGTTGGTGTGCAGTGAGAGGCTGAATGGTTATTGGAAATCTGTGGGCTTTGGAATGTAATACACTGGGATTTAAATCCTGACATGGCCGCATTCTTGCCATGTGCCCTTGGGAGTGTTAGAAACTACTTCTGACTTACATGGCTTTGTGAGGATGAGGTTAATTTTGTAATAAATGTCTGATACTTCACTTCCTTCTAGATGTGTTAAAGGAGATTCATAGAAGCTAGAGTCCATTTACAGTTCAGTCTACTTAGAAGCAAAACAGATTATGTTTGGTGGACCTCATTTAGGCACAGGGAAGTAGCTTTTTTCATGATTCCTACGGATATGTTACCATGTGTGTAAGCTCTGTCATCCCTATTTCTTTCTTTTGTTGTCTTACAGTTTGGGAAGGTGGCAGTGTATGGGATCTTCCTCTGGACACCACGACACCAGGCCCTGCCCTGGAACAACTTCAGCAGCTAGAGAAGGCCAAAGCTGCAAAGGTCCGAAACTCATTCTTCTACAGCAGTGCATTGCCATCTTGCTGCAGGAAATAAACATTGCTGTTTATTCATCTCTCTAGTTAGCTAGCTGTACTTTTTACTTTCACTTTTACTGCTGCTTAGCTGGTATAAGTACATTTGTATTGTATCTTTATTGTACCCTCTTCTCCCAAAAAAATTTCAAAACAATTTAAATTACTATGTTTGGATTGGTTAGTTGGCATATTGATGATTATAGGCACAAATATATTTTAGTTACATTATTTATGGTATGAACATTTGTTATAAGAAGACTGTGAGAAAATATCCACTTCATTATGGATGAGACTCCTGATATGTGGCTTGAGTTCTCCCATTGAATCTTTATAGTGGTGTTTATTTATGTTTCTTAGTATCCTCAGACATACCAGCCAAAAAGTGCAGCAGTAACATTAGATTGTGAGTTCCATTCAGTTTTTAGAAGAGCTAAATCTTAAATTTTGGTTTTAGTACTTGCCAGAAAAGAATGTCTACATCAATTACTTAATGTCATTATAATGATTTTAGGTTCTCATGCCTACAAGAGAGTGTTGTTACTGTTTTAGACTCAATGCAGTCTTATCCCCTGAGGGTGTGACAGTCTCCTTAGAGTGCCCAGAATGTGGAAAGGTTCATTCAACATTGCCATTAAAACATGATAGCCACACTGTTAAATGTTCAATCAGAAAATTCTATGTGGTGTAATGGTAATGTGGAATGTGGAGGCAAGTACAGGTGGGAGGAAAGTGTATTCAGTTGCGACGAGCATAAAATTCTTCTAATTACTGTGATATGTCACAGCTTAGAGTTCTTACAGTGTGTACATGTTGTAGCATATATCAAAATTTCCTTCCTTTTAAAGGTTGAATAATATTAATATTCCATTGTATGTATATACCAAATTTTGTTTGTCTGTTCATCTGTTGGATCACTCAGTTGCAGTACAGTACAAATAACTGTGAATGGATAATACTAGTCAGTCTTTTGGGAGTGTTCCTGTGCTTGGTTTCCATTTTCTAAGAGTACTCTTTGTGTCATCACAGCTAGAGCAAGAGAGAAGGGAGGCAGAAATGAGGGCAAAACGGGAGGAGGAAGAACGAAAGAGGCAAGAAGAACTCCGAAGACAGCAAGAGGAAATTCTTCGGCGACAGCAGGAAGAGGAAAGGAAAAGGCGAGAGGAAGAAGAACTTGCCCGAAGGAAACAGGTATATCTCTGGGAACTCAGACCATAGGATAGTGCTTGATGAAGTCCACAGGATTGGGGTTAGAACCTTAGACGACTGGTTCACCTTGGAGAGAATCTCTGTTTTCCACCAACACCCACTTAGGGATATCCCTCAGTCCTAGTAAACCACTGGAATTTATTTTCTTTGCATATTTCCTAGGGCTTTGTAAACGAGTTAGATTTCAGAAGTTCTGTCCTTGTGGCTAAAAACAATGAGAAAAGTAACTGATGTGCAGCATTAAATGTCAAATTCTGAAAGCCACATGGACTTTAAGAAAATTGTGCTAACGTATACATAAAATTTACCATTTTAAGTGTACTTTTAGTGGTGTTAAGTATATTCATTCACATTGTTGTGCAGCCCTCACAAATGTCTAAAACTTCTCCAGCTTTGCAAACTGAAACTGCATACCCATTAAACAAGGAGCCCCACTCCCTCCATCCCATAGTTCATAGTAACCACCATTCTTCTTTCTGTATCTGTGAATTTAAACTAATTCAATTCCTTATGTAAGTAGAATTATACAATGTTTGTCCTTTTGTGATGGGTTTATTTCATTTAAGTTTTATTCATGTTGTAGCATATATCAGAATTTCCTTTGTGAAGGTTGAATAATATTACATTGTGTGTTTATCCATTCCTATTTTGTTTATCTGTTTCTCTGTTGATGGACGTTTGGATGACTTCCACCTTTTGGCTCTTGTTAATAATGCTGCTGTAAACATGGATATATAGATACCTGTTTGAGTCCTTGCTTTCAACTCAAATTTTGTGTATACACCTAGAAGTGGAATTGCTGGATTATATGGTAATCCTCTTATTTTTTTGAGGAACTGCCAGATTGTTTCCAACAGCAGCTACTCCACTTTACATTCCTGCTGACAATGCACAGCGGTTTCAGTGTCTCCACGTTCTACCAACACTTGTAGTTGTTGTTGTTGTTTGTTTATCTTTGATAATGGCTTTTAAATGGGTGTGAAGTGGTATTTCATTGTAGTTTTGATTTCCATTTCCCTAATGATTAGTGTTGTTGAGCATCTTTTCACAAGCTTATTGACCATTCAGACGTACTTTTAAAAAGTATCTTTGACTAAGACCTCTGCCTTCTCTTTATTCTTTCCGTTAATGAATCTCTTCTCTATTTTAATGACTAGTCTTTCAAAATAGGGAGCAAAAAAAAAAAAAAACTCTACACATATATTTGCTTTATAACATTTTCTACTATATAGCTAAGCAAAAATCAGAAAGATAAGACAAATTTTATTTTTCCCCTAGAAAATAGGTTTTCATTTGAAGAAATTTAGACAGAAATCATCTAGCAATAATTTCAAATGTAACCATGTTTGTGTATGGTATGAGATGAGGGTCTGATTTCATTCATCTGCCTATGGATATCCAGTTTTCTCACCACAATTTATTAAAGAGACTAATCTTTCTCCATTTTCCCCATTGTGTGTTTCAGGCATCTATATGAAAAATCAGTTGAGTGTAAATGTGTGGATTTATTTCTGGGCTTTGTATTCTCTCTTTGCTTTCTTCTTCTTCTTCTTCTTCTATTTTTTTTGGGGGGGTGGGAGGGGGAGACAGTCTTACTCTGTTGCCCAGGCTGGAGGTATATATCATTTGTACTTGTTTTATAACCCTCCTTTTGACATTAATGAATTATGTCATCTTTCCATGTCAAATATATATCTAAAAATTTACATCATATTTGCTAGCTGTATAAAATTTCACTTTATAAGTAAATTATAGTAAGTTAATCAGTTCCCTATTGTTGGACATGTGCGTTGTTTCCAGTTCATCACTGTTAGATAAGCGTTTGAATGAAAGTGTTGTAGGTAAGTGTTGTCGCTGTCTTTGCTTAAGGATTTATAACCAGGGAAGTGTAGCATTTTTAATGTTTTTTTGGTCTTTTGTGTGTGTGTGTGTGAGGGGAGTTCACTATTAACGTGCTTGGCTCATTTTCCATTGGGCTTTTCCTAGACTGCAGTTGAAAGGATCCACACTCTTAATATCCCCATGGTCTGACCTTTACCACTTGTTTCCTACTTGTTGGCCCCAAAAGGTGCTCTGTGAGAAACCAAAAAGATCCATGCTGAGATGTAATTGGAACTACTGTTAATATTTAGAATCACACTACACCGTAGCATATAGAGGCTCCAAGGAATATTGCAGTAAAGAAGTATATTTAATTCTGTGTTGCTCAGTTTTCTATGAGTGATCTCAAAAATGTGTCTTCTTTGTGTGTAATACTTAATAGTATTTGTGGGATTTTGATCTTCAAAACGTGTTCTGGGACACATGGCTTTTACTCAGTACTTCTGACTGAGAGAACCTATCTTACCCAAAATTGTTGGTGGCTGTGTTGATTTGCCGTCTTGATGCCTTAAGTTCCGAGTTGATTAAAAAATAGGGATTAAAGATACCAGTAGAGAAACCAAAGGTTTAAGTGTAATGTAGCTCTTTCTAGGGTTAATCAGTAAATTATTAGCTAATACAGAAACCAGGATAGACTTACAGTGTATTGTAATTTAACTGCTAATATTTTAAATTCAGTTTTCTTTTTATTGTAATGTGTTCTATTCCCCAACTTACATGTATAATTTTTACTCCAGATCCTGATTATGTACTTTTATGTTTACTTTTTTATGGATTCTTAGCAGCACATAGCCTATTCAAATATGACATAATAAATTGATTGATAGACCTGAGTCTGTCCCACACCCTCCATCTTTTGTCCTTAGGAAGAGGCTCTGCGTCGCCAGCGGGAGCAAGAAATTGCATTAAGACGACAGCAAGAAGAAGAAGAAAGACAGCAGCAAGAAGAAGCTCTTAGAAGACTGGAAGAGAGAAGAAGAGAAGAGGAAGAAAGGCGGAAGCAGGAAGAATTGCTACGCAAACAGGTGACCAGATGGTTTTCTCTTCTAATTGTTCCTTTGAAGCCGGGAATTAGTGATTTAGAAAATATTAGGACATTAAGATAGCCTATGTAAAATTTTTTCAGGTTGCTAAAAATTACCGAAAGAAACCTAAATGGCTCTTATTACTTCTGTCTAAATTTCTTCAAATGAAAACCTATTTTCTCAAGGAAAAATAAAAATTTGTCTTATCTTTCTGGTTTTTGCTTAGCTATATAGTGGAAATGTTGTAAAATAAGTGTTTTGGTTTTTTTTTTAAGCCCGTTTGAAAGTTAAAATAAGCAGAATAGTGCAACATAAATCACGCAACAATAATTTTTGACGTAATGATTTTTGTGTATGGTGTGAGATGAGGCTCTGATACCATTCTGCCTATGGATATCTAGCTTTCCCATCACCATTTATTAAAGAGACTGTTCTTTCCCCATTGTGTGTTTTTGGCATCTGTGTCAATGAGTGTAAATGTGTGGATTTATTTCTGGACTTTACAGTCTCTTTTTGCTTCTTTTTTTTTTTTAAATCAAGAGCCTCACTCTGTTGCCCAGGCTGGAGTGCAATGGCGCAATCTTGGCTGACTGCAGCCTCTGCCTCCCCAGCTCAAGCAATTCTTGTGTCTCAGCCTCCTGGGACTACAGACATGTGTCGCCACATCCGGCAAATATTTTTGTATTTTTAGTAGAGACGGAGTTTTGCCATATTGGCCAGGCTGGTCTTAACTCCTGGCCTCAGATGATTTGCCTGCCTCAGCCTCCCATAAGTGCTGGGATTACAGGTGTGTCTTTTTTTTTGCTTTTTTGACTATATTCTTTGAAACACATAATTTTTTCATTTTGATCATGTCCAATTTATCATTTAATTAAATTAATTATTTATCTAGTTATTTTAAGACGAACTGTTAAGATGAAGGCTCACTCTGTTGCCCAGGCTGGAGTACAGTGGTGCAGTCTTGGCTCACTGCAGCCTCTGCCTCCCAGGTTTAGGCAATTCTTCCACCTCAGCCTTCCGAGTAGCTGGGACTACAGGCATGCGCTGCCATGCCTGGCTAATTTTTATATTTTTGATAGAGAGGGGGTTTTGCCATGTTGGCCAGGCTGGTCTTGAATTCCTGACCTCAGATGATCGCCCACCTCGGCCTCCCAAAGTGCTGGGGTACAGGTGTGATTCCTCTCACCTGGCCAATAATGTCCAATTTATTTTTTTATTTTTATTTTTTTTAACAAGTTCTATACTTTTAGCTCTTTCAGGTTTACATTCTTTATATTCTCAGTACATGTTCTTTGTTAGGTAAATGTTGTATGTACTTTCCTCCAGGCTATAGCTTGTCTATTTATTTTCCTAGGTGCATCTTTTGATAAGCAGAGATTTTTTATTTTGATGAAATCCTATGAAATTTGTCTTTTATTATTAGTGGGTTTTTTTTCCCCCTCTATATAAGAAATATTTGCCCACATACAGATTATTAAAATATCTCCTGATTTTTTTTTTAAGCTTTGTAGTTTTGGTTTTACAAATAGTTTGAAATATTTTTTCTGTATAATGTGAGGTATGGGTTCTTCCAGTGCCAGTTTTCGCATAGTCTTTCCTTTTTCTATTGAATTTTTGATGCTTTTGTCAAAGTCAATTGTATAACTATGGTTTGTTTTTTTAATGGACTCTTCCCTTCTGTTCCATTGGTAAGTTTGCCTGCCTTTAAATGAGTATGCACTGATTTGATTACTATTATAGCTTTGTAGTAACTAGAAGTCAGTCAGTGTGTCTTCCAGCTTTGCTTTTTTATTCAAGACTGTTTGACTAAGATCTTTTGCCTTCCCATTAAAATTTAAAATTATCGAGTAGTTCAGGGGTCCCGCAGATCTGTCGCTTGCTTCAACAGTGTTTGGACGGAAAAGATCCCGGGGACTCTTTCTTCCAGCCTCCGACCGCCCCCCAATTTCCTCTCCACTTGCAACCTCCGAGACCATCGTCTCGGTCATCTCCTGCTTCTGGGAGCCTGGCTAACACCGTTTTTGTGGTTAGCTCCTTTTTGCCGACCAACCATGAGCTCCCAGATTCGTCAAGAATTATTCCACCGACATGGAGGCAGCCGTCAACCACCTGGTCGGCGTGTACCTGCAGGCCGCCTATACCTACCTCTCTCTGGGCTACTATTTTGGCCACGATGATGTGGCTCTGGAAAGCGCGAGCCACTTCTTCGGCGAATTGGCCGAGGAGAAGCGCGAGGGCTACAAGCTTCTCCTGAAGATGCAAAACCAGCATGGCGGCCGCGCTCTCTTTCAGGACATCAAGAAGCCGGCTCAAGATGAGTGGGGTAAAACCCTGGACGCCATGGAAGCCGCCATGGCCGCCGCCATGGCCCTGGAGAAAAATCGGAACCAGGCCCTTTTGGATCTTCATGCCCTGGGTTCTGCCCACACGGACCCCCATCTCTGTGACTTCCTGGAGAGTCACTTCCTAGATGAGGAAGTGAAAATCATCAAGAAGATGGGTGACCACCTGACCAACCTCTGCAGGCTGGCCGGCCCAGAGGCTGGACTGGGCGAGTATCTCTTTGAAAGGCTCTCTCCAGCACAACTAACACAACTAAGAGCCTACTGAGCCCAGCAACTTATAAAGGGCCTTTGGAAAATAACAGGGCTTCTGCCTGTTATTCCACCTTCTCCAGCCACCAGGCAGCTTTCTAACTACCCTAACAAGCCTTGGACCAAATGGAAATAAAGCTATTTGAAGCAAAAAAAAAAAAAAAATTAAAATTATCTTCTTAATCTCTATATAAGTAAAAGCCTACTGTGATTATGATTTGGATTGTGTGGAATCTATAAATTGAGGAGAATTTGCATTTTAAGATATATTGAGTCTTCCAGGCAATGCACATGGTATATTTTTCCATTTATTTATGTTTTCCTAGTTTTTTTTTCTCAGTACCATTTTGTTTTCATTATATGGGTTATGTACATCTTTAAAATTTTGATTTTTTTTTTTTTGCTATTATAAATGGAATTTTATAAGTTTATTTTTCATTTCTATATAGAAATATAATTGATTTTCATATACTGATCTTATATCCTGAGACCTTGTTTATCTCAGCTTACTACCTCTAATAGTATTTTGTTGATTCCTTAGGATTTTCTATGGAATTTTATTGATAAATAGGAACAGTTTTAATCCTTCCTTTTCATCTTTGGAAAGAAATGGTTAAAGTGGATGATGGACAGCCTTATTTCCAGTATTAGGGAGAAAATGTCCAGTATTTCACTATTAAATATGTTGATAGTTTTTCATAAGTATCTGTTATCCAACTGAAGAAGTTTCCTTCAACTCCTAGTTTACTGAAAGTTTTTCCATGAATAGATATTGAGGTTGTAAAATGCTTTATCTGCATTGATTGATGATCATTTAGTTTTCTCATTCTGTTCATATGGTGAATTATACTATTAATAACTGAGTTTTGAAGGTTAAGCCAACTTTGTGTTCCTGGATTACCACCCTACTTTTGTTAAGAATATTTGCATCTGTGTTCATGAGGAAGATCTAGGCCTATAATTTTCTTTCTCTTCTCCTTCCTTTTTTTTTTTTTTTAAGGATGGTCTCATCCTGTCATCTAGGCTACAGTGCAGTGGCATAGTCTCAGCTCACTATAGCCTTGACCTCCCATGCTCAATCAAGCCTCCCACCTCAGCTGCCTTCGTAGCTTGGGCCTCAGGCACATGCCACCATGCCTGGCTCATTTTTTAAATTTTTTATAGAGATATGGGTTCTTGCTGTGTTTCCTAGGCTGATCTTCAATTCCTGGCCTCAAGCAGTCTTACTGTCTTGGCCTCGCAAAGTGGTGGGATTACAGGAGTGAACCGCTATGCGTGGCCTAATTTTCTTACAATGCTTTTGTTCCATTTTGGTGTCAGGTTTATGCTGGCCTCTTAAATTGAAATGTGATACTTTTTATTGTTTTCTGAAGAAGTTTGTATAAGCTTGTAAAAGATCAGAATTATTTCCAAAGTTTGTATAAGAATGGAATTATTTCTTCATTGAATACAGCTTATTTTATTGTGCTTCACTTTCTTGTGCTTTGCATGTATTTTATATTTTACAAATTGAAGGGCTTGTGGCAGCCCTGCATTGAGCAAGTCTGTTGGCCACAGCGTGTGCTCACTTTGTGTCACATTTTGATAATTCTTGTAATGTTTCAGATTTTTTTTACTATTGTATCTGTTATAAGTGATATAATAGTAAAAAAAAGTAATGTATTAAAAACTGTGACATGTAATTAAAGTGATCTGTGATAAGTGATTTTTGATGTCACCATTGAAATTGTGGAGTGCTGTGAATTGTACCCGCATAATACAGCAAACTTAATTCATACCTATTGTGGATGCTCTGACTATTCTACTGACTGGCTGTTCCCTGTCTCTCTTCCTCTCCTTGGACCTCCCTATTGACTGGGACACAACATTATTGAAATTAGGCCAGTGTATAACTCTACAATGGCCACTAAGAGTTCAAGTGAAAGGAAGAGTCACATGTCTCTCGCTTTAAACTGAATGCTAGAAATGATTAAGCTTAGTGAGGGTGGCATGTCAGAAGCTGACGACATAGGCCAAAGGCCAGGCCCCCCTGTGCTAGTTAGCTAAGTTGTAAATGCAAGGGAAAAGTTATTGAAGGAAATTAACAGTGCTACTCCAGTGAACACGTGAATGACAAGATAGCCAAGCAGCCTTATTGCTGATATGGAGATAGTTTTCGTGGTCCAAATAGAAGATCACACCAGCTATAATGTTCCCTTAAGCCAAAGCCTAATCCAGAACAAGGCTTTAAAACTCTCTTCAATTCTGTGAAAGCTGAGAGAGGTGACAAAGCTGAAGAAGAAAAGTTTGAAGCTAGCAGCAGCTGGTTCATGAAGTTTAAGGAAAGAAACCATTTCCATAACATTAAAAAGCGTAAGGTGAAGCAGCTAGTGCTGGTGCAGAAGCTGCAGCAAGTTATCCAGAAGC